CTGTTTACCATCTGCCTCAGCTCCTGCCTCTGGACTCAGCTGCTTGCTTGGCTTGCCATGCCCTGCTTCCACCATTTGGGCCAGAAGCAGCAGCCAGCCCAAACAAGGACTCTTTTTTTGCATGTGGGCGCATGTGCCCCCCTTTGAACTGACCTCCTCCCACAGCTTTGCCCCTTGCTACCTGCCCCATTTGCCCCTAGCAGCCTTTTGCCCCTCCCCTTTGCCCCAGCCCCCCTTACTAGCTTCAGTTTGTTTGCCTGCCCCGCCCTTTTCCCTCTGCAGCTTTTGTTTGTTTGCCTCACCCCAGCCTCTGAAGCTAGCCCCTTGGATTCCCTGTCCTACCTCCAGCCTGCTTAGCCCCTTGCTCCATGTACCCATGCCCCCTCCCATGCGCTTGTGCCCCTCCCCATTTTAGTTTGAACCTCTTTCACTACACCCCCCCAATGCTGTTGTATTTCCCCCATTCCCTAGTGCAGCTAGAGGAGCCTGAATCCCACCCCGTGTCAGTAACTGACCCCTAGCCCTTGATTGCCTCCCCCCATCCAGTCCACCCCTTTTGACGCCCTCCTCCCCTCCCTGCAGCCTAGCGGGGAGGAGTGGTCAACCGCCTTACCCTTTCCCCTCCTCTCTCCGGTGTTTCCCCTCCCTCCCCGCTCATTATTGCAGGGGACAAGGCGGGTTGGACCCCTCCAGCAGACCCAGCTGCCACTCCCCCACCTGCCCCTCCGTCACCCCCCCAAGCCTCTACCTCAACCACCGCTGCCAAACCATGTGCTACTGCCCCAGCTGGGGCATCAGCAGCAGCAGGCAACAGGGTGACCTCTGCTGCTGCCACATCCCTTGCCCCCTCAGATTCTGGGGGAGCTCCCCCAGCCAGCAGGAAGGGCCAGGGTAAGAAGAAGGGGAAGGGCCCCACCAAAAAGACCAGGCCCTCCATGGCAGTGACTGCCCCCACAGCCGCGGCCCTCCCCGCTGCTCCCTCCGCCAGCTCTGCAGATGCCCCTCCCCTGGCCCCCAGGGTTCATCAAATCCTCTGGGCCGCAAGGGCCCTCATGGGGGAGGGTAAAAGGACCGGGAAGCAGGCCGCCGCAGCCTACCAGCGGGTCCGCCTCTTCCGTGACTCCTTACTCACCTACAGGGTAGGTCACGGTGTGCTGCACGGCCCGACGGGGGCCATGAGCGATCCTGCCGGCAAGGATCCCCCCCAAGCCCTCCTCATGGCACCTATCATCTTCGTAACATTGAACACTTGGGGCTGTAGGATGGGTTTCCGCAGGAGCCAGGTGCTCTCCTTCCTTCGGGAGTGGGGGTACTCTGTGGTTTTTCTGCAGGAGACCCATATGGGTCCGGCTGCCGAAGGCAGCTGGCAGCTGGAATGGGGGGACAGGGTGTACTTTAGCCATCTCACAGTTCGTACAGCTGGAGTGGCAACCCTGTTCTCTCCCGACCTACAGCCTGAGGTGCTGGGGGTCTCAGAGACTGTGCCGGGTTTCCTGCTGCACCTCTGGATCTGTATGGAGGGGCTTGTGATCAATCTCGTCAACGTCTCTGCCCTGACATCGAGCCCGGAGCGGCTGCGTTTCTATCAGCAGGTGTCCGCCTTCCTTGGCACCTTGGATCCTCGTGAGTGCCTGGTCCTGGGCAGGGACTTTAACACCCTCGAGGAGTGGGACTGCTCAGGGACCGAGCAGTGCCTGGCCACCGCAGACGTCCTCCGGGAGATTGTCAGACTTCACTCCCTGGTGGACGTCTGTGACCACCACCTGGACAACTTCTCGACGTTCACCTTTGTCCGGGTGGAGGCCCATTGCTCGCGCCACTCCCGATTGGACCACATCTATTTATCATATTTTCACCTTTCACAGGCCCACTCCTCCAGAATCCAGCCGGCCCCGTTCTCCGGTGGTTAAATGATGATCAGAGAGGCCAGGGCTGGCCTATTGGCATTTCAACAACAGCTCGTTGGAGGATTTGGGCTTCGTGGCATCCTTCCAGGAGTTCTGGCTGGCCTGGCAAGGGCAGCGGTGTGCCTATTCCTTGGCACGACGGTGGTGGGACCTGGGGAAGGTGCGAGCCCGGCTCTTCTGCCATGACTACACCCGGGGCGCCAGCTGACAGAGGGATGCGGCGATAGAGCAGTTGGAACAGGAGGACTTAGAGCTGGAGAGGCATCTGACCGCCAGCCCCGAGGATCCATCCCTCTGCGGAGCGTTCCGGGAGAAGCGGGAGGAGCTCCGGGCCCTCAAAGACCATCGGGCCCCAGGCACCTTTGTTCAATCCCACATCCGTCTCCTTCGGGAGATAGAGGAAGTGGGAGCCATGATCCATGCCCCGTAGAAAAGGAGGGGGGCCAAGAAGTATGTCACTTACCTTCTGGCAGAGGATGGCACCCCCCTCACGGATCCAGTGGAGATGTGCGGGAGAGCCAGGGCCTTCTACGCAGGCCTTTTCTCCCGGGATCCGACCAATCCTAACACTTGCAGAGTGCTCTGGGACAAACTCCCTACAGTAAGCGGGTGACCGAGACCAGCTAGAGCTGCCTCTCACTCTGGCCAAGTTCTCAGAAGCCTCTGTTGCATGCCCACCAATAAATCTCTGGGCATGGATGGGCTGACCGTGGAGTTCTACCGCATGTTCTGGGATGTCCTCAGGCCAGACCTAGTCACCATCTGGGCCGAGTCCGTGCAGAGCAAGGTCCTCCCTCTTTCGTACAGGCGAGCCGTGCTCACCTTACTGCCGAAGAAGGGGTACCTCCGTGATTTACGAAATTGGCGTCCCGTCTCGCTCCTTAGCATGGACTACAAAATCGTAGCAAAAGCCATCTCGCTGCAGCTAGGGTCCATGGTGGCGGACATGGTCCACCGAGACCAGACCTACACCATCCTGGGCCGCACCATCTTTGACAACCTGTATGTGGTCCGGGACCTCTTGGAGCTCAGGTGTAGGGATGGTCTGTCGTTAGGCCTCCTGTCCCTGGGCCAGCCTTTACTCCACCTTGGTCCCAAGGCCCGCCAGGGATATTAGTTGGCAGCTCCTTCACGGGGCCGTGAGCACGGGCGTGTACTTGGCACAGTTTACCCCTATCCCAGACACCTGCCTCTTTTGCAGCATGAGGGAAACCCTGGCACACATTTACCTGGAGTACACCAGGCTGCAGCCCCTATTCCGGCTCCTCTTAGACATTTTGTTAAGATTTTGGTTGCACTTTTCCCCTCACCTTCTTATTTATGCACTCCCTATCCATGGCCCCACAAAGTCACAGGACCTCCTGGTCAACCTCCTCCTGGCCCTGGCTAAAACGGCCATCTATAAAACCAGCGTGAGGAGGTTGGCTGATGGAGTCTCCTGTGACTGTGGGGCCTATTTCCAATCCTCCATCCGTTCACGTATCCGGGCAGAGTTCCTCTGGGTGCCATCCACTGACTCCCTTGATGCCTTCGAGGAGCAGTAGGCGCTGTCCGGGGTTCTCTGCTTGGTGTCCCCATCTGGTTCCCTTCATTTGTCCCTTCAATCGCACTCCTATCCCTGTTATTTCATTAGTTGACCCCCATAACCATTTGGTTTCCAGGTCCTGTGGACCCCACTCTTAGGCTGGGGGGGATCCTTTAGCAGTGGGAGGGCTTTACCTGCCCACTTCCTGGATCCCAATAGGATCACCCTCCTGCTGCCCTCTGGCCTGGAGGGAGAAAGGAGAGAGAGGGCTTCTGCTCCTGTTGCTGGTGCTGCTGCTAGGCCATGGGCTCTCCCTGCTGCTGCTGTTTCTGCTCCAGCTGCTCCCCCCTGGCTGGGCCAGACACCACCCCCTCCTTCTCTGCTATCTGGTTGCTGGTCGGCTGCTGGACCTCCCCACCCTTGGTTGCTGCAGCTGCTTCAACTACAGCCCCTTGGGGGGCCGGGACTGGGCTTAAAAAAGGGACTGTCCCAGCCAAAACTGGATGTATGCTCACCCCACCCCTGCTGCTGGCTATGATACCTCCATTCTCTGATCTAGGGTTCATTCCTTTAGTCCACTGTGCTTTGCAGTGTGCATCTGGGCTTCTTGTTCTAGATCATACTGCTTCATTCTTTGTCTCTCTATGCCCCTTCTGTCAAGAGGGTCCATTGCAGTATTGTTTTGAACATGCAAAGGATTCCAGTAGAATCAAAAGCTTTATTGCAGAAGTTCTAATGTGGTTCAAGGAGTGGTAGACCTGCTACTGTTTTAAGTATGAAGAGTACTACTTCTCTCTCTCTCTCTCTCTCTCTCTGCAATAGTGCCTCTATGGGAAACAAAATTAATATATTTCAACGCCAAAAGAGACTGCCATGTAAGGTGTCACACACACTTTTTTTCTTCCTATCCATTGTCTTGTAAGTTGTTTGGGACAGCAACTGTCCTTTACTATCTGTTTATCACTGCCTAGCACAATGAGGTTCTGATCTTGGTTGGAACATGTAGCCATTACTGTAATACCAGTAATATTTAATAAGTCACTGGGAAGTGAAGCTTTGGCTGAAACACACTTAATTGTATTTTTAAAAAATCATAAATCAACAGCACTAAAAATACAAGTTTAAAAAAATATATAAATTCAAGACTGTAGTAAGTTGGAACCTAGATTTCTGGTTATTCTCCAAGGATGCAGGGCAACTTGGGCTCCTGCAACTGATGCAGCTGCACTGGGCTGTGGCCTTCACTTTTTGCAATCAGTTCCACATGCACAGACCCATCTGATTCTGGTCCCAGCAGTCCATGGCAGACAGTTAAGTCCCTTAATTCCTTCTCCTAGCTTCCTTTAAGACAGTTGTGTTTCTTCTCCACCTTTTGGCTCCATGGAGAGAAGGCAAAGGAATCTGTGGGGTCCCATAAATAGCTTTTCAGGAGGGGATGCAGACAGACAGGGACTCTGTGTAGTGTAGGACCCTATAAAATGTAGGGCTGTCTCTGCAAGGCCGTTAATGTCTTTGGTACCTGCTGGTGAGTAGTCACTCATTTCTGTTTCTCATCTAAGACTACCCTGGTTCTGAACAACCCACTTTAAGGGATAGTTTCTAACTCACAGCCCATCAGTTATTGTATTGTTTCTGGAAAAACCCAAAACTTAATTTCTGAGGAAGATGCCAAGACAGCATGAAATCTAAGGAATGATCCAGGATGTTGGCAAATATGTGGGCTCAATGTTCCATCTTTGCCCCACATCCTCCATTGTGGACCCTTTGGTGCTTCCATGACATGGCCCGCAGCACTGACCCCCTTTCTCCAGTTTGTGGTGATACTAGATAGGTTTTGTGCCTCATCCACAACAAGCAGGCTCTGTCTGTTTTTAATCATTGTCTTGAGGGTTGGAAAGCTTCTGCAAAGACATCATCATCAGTGGGACTCTCATAAGCAGGTGGTGGGGTGAGTGGCTCCAGCCGCTCCAGCCTCTCTTCAACACCTTTGACGTCATGGATATCTGAGACAAAGCGCTGCATCCTCGGGGGCAGCACCAACCTAAGGTGCAACCTGGAGCCTGCGTCTGTCTCAGAGGCACGCCTGATGCCTGATGCCACTGAGATGCTGAAGGTCTCCGCCCCAGTTTCTGCCATGCTGGGCGGCTCAATGACCACACTGTATGGTGGGGGCTCCCCCACTGTTGAGGGCACTGTGCCTGAATTGGAGGTGATCGTCCAGACTGTTGGGGCTGGTGTCATTGTCACCACCTCCTCATAGGCTGGTGCTTCATAGGCAGCATTCACCCTACACACAAAAGATAGGGACATTGACTAAATAGGACATTGTGATGTTTATACTCTACACAGAGATAAACCCATGAGGGAGGGGATCTGAGTCCTCCAGAATGGGGGCCATGCAACAGACAATAGCTCAACAGGTCAGCAGTTCTCAGATCATTAGTCCATATGGTCCTGTATGCCATGTTCTGCCACTCTAAATCAGAACACTGGTTCATATAATTCAATATCCCACCTCCTGTTGTGCAGGATCCAAACAATGGTTCATCTAGCCTGGTATTCCAACACTTGCCACAATGGATCATACTAATCTATCTAGTCTGGTTTCCTCCTGACCCATCAACTGGTGCTCAGTTTAGCAGACATAGCAGATCTGCCAACATTTGAAATCAATTAATAGGGAGAAAAAACACTGCACCTTTTAGCTCTACCGTACTATATCAGACTGGCAGTGGTGGGTTTTTTGAAGACAAAGAGTAAGGAAAATAAGAAATTTCTATTCCATGTAGAGTTAACGGGTATCTGTCAGGAGAACTGACAGCCCTTGTCATTTTTATCCTAGGTAACAACATTGTAGATGCAGTTCTTCCTAATAATATCTAATCTTTTTTTTTTAACTCTCATGAGCTATTTGCCTCCAGAATAGGCAGCGGCAACGAACAAATATCTAAAAAAATATTTAAATCAGTTTTTAATATGTTGCCTTTCTAATAATAAATAATCTTTTCCTCTTATACAGCATATGAGGATCTGAAAGTATTTTACCAAGATGGGTAACTTCTTATCTCCATTTTACAGATAGGGGAAACTGAGGTACAGAGAACTTAAGGCCCTGTGTGGACTCTATTTTTGGGTGTCTAATTATAGACAATTTGGGTCTAATTTATGTAGGTGCTCAGCACCTACAACTCTAATTGAAGCCAATAGGAGTTGTGGGTGTTCAACGCCTCTCAAATTCAATCCCTGTGTGTCTCAAGTTGGACAGTCAAAACACAGAGGCACCAAAAATTAGAGACTACTTTTCTAGGGAATAATTGCCCTGGAGATGAGGTTTGGAGAAGCGAGCAGCAGAAACCCAGCTGAGCATATACCATACCATAGCATTTCCCCAGCTATTTCTATCTCCTATCTTGTGTGGCTCATTTTGTTGCAAGATAGTAGTTGTTCTGTTCTGGCTCATTAGTGATGCTAGCATTCAGGAAAGCGTTGCAGGGAAGGTTGGGGTAAGACAGGATTACTGAGGGGCAGAGAAAACTGGGCTGGATCTATGTGGCCTCTGAAATGGGCTCTGAGTCAGTGAAGGGAATACCATGAATGTGATATCTGTGTTGTAAAAAATACTTAGCCCAGTCTTAACAGGAGGATGGACAAGATGACTTCTAAAGGAGTGTTTCTCAACGACTGGTCCATGGACCAGCGCCAGTCCCTGAGATCTCCCTGACACAGTTTAGGAAGGCAGCAAACCAGTACCTGGTATAAAAAAAAATGGGAAACACTGCTCTAGAGGGCCCTTCTAGTCCTACATTTCTAAAATCCTGTGACTTTGGGAACCTCCATATGGGAGGAGAAGAGATTACTGTGCCTCCTGGAATGGACTTTGACTTTTGCCTCTTGGGAGAAGGGTAGCAGAAGGATGAGGAAAGGGAAAGATTAAAATGGTTGTGGCTGAAGGAAGGAGTAAATAAAGGGAAGTAATAGATATAGTTGCTTACCCTGCCTGGCTCTGCCTCCTTGTGGCTGCCTGATTTGTATCCTGTGGGTGCCGATGCTTCAGGAAGCATTCCACAAACACACTCAGCAGGTAGCCAATCAGGCACATGCCCCCCACCCCCAGGAAGAAGAATCCCACTGGGTTGATGGTAGAGGAGATAGCCAGCATGGTGACCCCAGTGAGAAGTGCAGCAGTGAAGACAAACAACAGAGCTTGGCGGATGCCTCTCCAATGTGACTCTACCCACATGGTGATGTGGATGGTGATGGCAGGCAGTGGGAGAAGGCTGGGCAGCTGGGGAAACAGAGATCTGTGGAAGATATGGAGGGGTTTTGAACATAAAACATGAGACCACAAAACATGTCAACATGGGTGCATGCCTGTGCAAATACATGCCACCACAAGAACATGCACATGCACAACACAGGGACACAGGTATATAAATAGATGTCAATATCAATACACATCACCATGAGGACATGCTTATGCAAATACACACCAAATGTAGGATACGCATATGCAAACATGTCTACAGGTCAACATGCACAAATATGAGGAAATTAGTGTGGACAAATGTACACATACAGACATGCAAATACTCTCCCATGAGGGCATATATAAAACAAATGACAGGCAAACCAATGGAGTAACAAAAGATAATGGAATGTGGCATGTACACACTTGAATCCTTGAACACAGGAATATCAGTTGCCTGAGCATAAGCGTCTGTTGTCAAATAATGTGCAACATGCAGCCATATACCTAGAGCCCTGTGTGGCTACATAATTTGTATCCACATCTGATCTGCAATCCACAAAAAATGGTCTGTGGATATCCACATCCACAGATGTACATATCTGCAGATATAAAGTAGATATCTCCAGATTTGCAGGGCTCTATGCATACCCTATGGCTGTGACCAGACTCAGCTTTGATTCCAGCACACAGGCAAAACTCAGCACAAATCTTGGGGTTTATTTTAGATGCACTGTGGCCCCTCCAAATTCCTTCCTGTTGGCTGGCTCTTTCCCACCTCCACGTTCCAAGTACCCCAGTTGACTCCCTGGTTGACTCTCCCTGTCATCTTTTCTTTGTTGCAGGAGACAGGGATTATCATTGTGTTGCAGCCTGTATGTCACAAATACCAGGGACCTCTGGTGCTGAAGCAAAGACCAGACGTAAGGAGTTGTCCCCTCCTTTACCCTGCTTAGTGGGAAAACTCAGAAGAATAGAGCAGGCAAACCTCAGAGTCAGTACTTACAGCACAGCAAAATTACAGTGCAAGGACGCCCTCTATCGTCTGACACTAGCACAAGTCTCCTCTAACAATTGGTCAATCCTAGGGAAACACCTGAGGGAGCCCTCTCCTTGCTTTATGGTGTTAGTGAACATTGGTCCCATAGGCCAGCCACAAGCTCATCCCAGGCTAGGGAATGCTCTCCTTATGTGAAGTCAGTGCTGTATTGAACGCTGCTTCTAAGGCCACCCTGTCCCTATCTAAGATCGACGCAGACTTTGTTAGCAAACACGACAGTTCCAGGAACATTCTACAGAGAGAGGGCCCTTGCCTCCCATGTTGCTAGTGCAGAGCCTGAGACTAGAAATGGAGCTGCATACCTAGGAAATCCCAGACTCAGGCTGGGGAGAAAGGAGAGAGGGACAGAGAACAGGAAAAAGACAGAAATAGTGACACAGAGAGGGAGAGAAGTGATAGGCATACAGACACCAGTGCTGGACATTTGCCTGGACTTACACAGGATTTTTTAAATTTTTTAACTTTTTAAATTTTTTAAATCAAATTTCTTTTTATTTAATGCTTACTCTTGCATTCACACAGATTATACAGATTCACACAGCTTCAAACACACACGCATACAAACGATATGCAGTGGGGGAGGTTTAGGTTGGATATTAGGAAAAACTTTTTCACTAGGAGGGTGGTGAAACACTGGAATGCGTTGCCTAGGGAGGTGGTGGAATCTCCTTCCTTAGAAGTTTTTAAGGTCAGGCTTGACAAAGCCTTGGCTGGGATGATTTAATTGGGGATGGGTCCTGCTTTTGAGCAGGGGGTTGGACTAGATGACCTCCTGAGGTCCCTTCCAACCCTGATATTCTATGATTCTGTGATAGATATACAGATATAAAAACACATTTGCATACATACTTTCATAGGCATACACTTGCACATACATGTATTCACATGCAGGTGAATACACCCACACAAGCATGTACACATTCACAAACAGGCACATACATGGACATGTTCATGCATGTACCCAGACATACCACAGACACACAGTAATATAGGCAACCACATCTACTCCCAAGCACACTCTCAAGTATTCTTACTTAGATAGGCACACTCACAAACAAATGTTCATACACACATTGTATCAAATGCCATGCCTAGATTTAAAAAAGGGATGGGTGATATTGTGAGCATTAATAGTTGTACAAACCAGACTAGGGCTAATCAAATCTTATGTTTCAAGACATCAGGAGGGAATATCCTCATAACATTTGCCTTTCTCTGAAGCACCTAGTATGTGCACTGTTCCAGTGGGGGCTAACCCTGTAAGCCTACTTATGTGTGCACTCACACTCTCTTTTACACACCTCCCTTCCCCCATAGACAAATACACAGCTGTGGTATACATACAGTTATACCTATGCACATCTGAACTCCTGCAAGCACATATGCACATTCATACACGTTGATTCACACAGCAGTCGCACAGACACACATTCTTCAGCTGCCTCCATCAAGACAGTCTTTTGCAGCAGCCTTTGTGCCATCACTTTCAGCATACACTCACCAGAGAGAGCCTTCTGGAGCCAGTACCAGCCGATATATTCTCTTGCCTTCTCTCTTCATCCCAAGGAACTATCTGTAAGCCTCTTTTGAATATATTCCTTGCCTTCCTCTCCCTGACCTGAGAAAGAGACGCTACCAAAAGCTCTCCCTTCTCTTCCCTTGACTCCTTTCACACTCCCAAGGGAGCTCTTTATATGCTGGTGAGCAGTGAATGTGGGAAGGTAGCAAACCACAGCGAGACCTTGTTACAGTGGCTTGGCCTCCTTTTTCCAAGCACTGAATCCAAAGTTTCACTTCTGTATGATCATCTATTTTCTCTTTTTTCTCTCCTCTTTTCTGTGCTCCTTCTCGCTCCTCTTTTCTCTTCCTCGTTCTTTCCCTAGCTGTTCTGTCCTAGCAGAGCAGGAAGCTAGCTGGGGGAAAGGGCGGGGTATGTAGTGTGGGTGTGCTTGTGTCTGTGTTTCTGGCCCACCTCCCTCTACTAATATACGTTCTCTCCTTTCTCGGTGAGGATTTTATTCTTTCTCCCTGCCCTGCAGAAAGGCCCCTGATCCCTGTCCAGGCCCAGCCCAGAAGCATCATGGCCCACACATAAAACTTCTATGAGCTCTATGAAAATGTAAGTTATGTACCCGCATTGGCTGCTGGGTCTCACATACTAGTTTATGCCCTTTTGGACTTTAAGAACAAAAGAGGAGAAGCAGACAATCAGGTTATTAACTCCCAGAGGGCTGAAGTGGAGTTCCTGCTATCATAGACACATCTGGAGATGAGGAGTACAGATAAGTGGGAGGCCTGTATTGAAATCTTCCCCAAATCTAGTGATCACTTGAACCCTTAGTAAAAATCATGATAAGCTCTCAAACATGGATTTTCCACATGAATGGCCTCCAGAAACTGGCAGTTGCAAGGGTCTGTCTGTACTAGGAAGCAGTCCTATTGTTGACAATAAGAAAAGGAGTACTTGTGGCACCTTAGAGACTAACCAATTTATTTGAGCATAAGCTTTCGTAAGCTACAGCTCACTTCATCGGATGCATACTGTGGAAAGTGTAGAAGATCTTTTTATATACACACAAAGCATGAAAAAATACCTCCCCCCACCCCACTCTCCTGCTGTTACTCTGAAACCTGTCATTGTTGACAATGATTGTTAACAATAGTTTGCCCCTTGGACTTCCTTCAACTGGAGCTGAAAAAACATTTTGGCTGCTAGCATAGATGGGGCTAAACCACTTTCAGCTCTTTTAGTTTTTGTGGACTGAGGCCTGATTGTCCTCTGACTTACACCTGTAGGAGAACTCCATTGAAGTAAATGGATTTACATCAGTGTAAAGAAGGGACAATCAGGTGCTGGTTTCTAGCACACTTTTTGCAAGGTTTCCATCTACAGTAAAATCTTGGTGGAACATGACTTCTTGGACTTGTTTACAACACAGAAATGATGCATTATTGACAATGATTGTCAAGGACAGGTGCAGTATTAGAATACAGTTTAGCTTCAGTATAGGCAAGGATAAACGAATGTGAGCGTTGTTGCAGAAACCACGTCAGCACAGTGAATATGTGCACTGTAGACAAAACTTGGAGATGACTCTCTATCTCCCCTGCTGTGCCTTCACTAGAGAAGTGAACCATTGCTAAGCACCAACAGGGCATTGCACCCACACTAGCTGTACAGGTTTGGGTGATGGACCATTTGGAATTTTGCCCCCCATGTACACAACTGCTCTTCTACAGTAATGCAGTAATACTGCTTTCTGGGTGCTTATCCCACAATTCCTGGCACAGCTCCCAGAAGTAATGGATTCTAGGAGATTTTGAAAGGTCTTCTGGAATTCTCAGGAAGTTGGAAAATATGGGAGAAGACTTCAGACTCCCATAATTCCTTGTGACGCTCCCCAAAGTCCTATAGAATCATAGAATATCAGGGTTGGAAGGGACCTCCAGAGATCATCTAGTCCAACCTCCTGCTCAAAGCAGGGCCACTCCCCAATTTTTGCCCCACATCCCTAGATGGCCCCTCAAGGATTGAACTCACAGCCCTGGGTTTAGCAGGCCAATGCTCAAACCACTGAGCTATAACTCCTGTGGTGCCAGTGTCAGGATGTTCATGGATATGTACGTAGGGCAGCCAGACAAAATGGATGATATCAGGATTTCCACAAATTCTGGACTTTTCAATAGTGGATGAGGTTGAACTCTCTTCCCACTGAACAACCATGACATTAGTGGCCCTGCACACTCCCTAGTGCCATGGCTTGTGCAGTCTTGTCTACTCAAACCTGGTGAGAAGAAGATTCATCTATACACCAAGCAGGTCCAGGATTGTGTTTTTTGGAGACTGAATGTGAGCTGGAAATGGCTCTAGACCTGTGGTGACTGTTCAGCAATTAAGGTTGTCATTATCATATCTGCTTTCTGTATTGTGCATTTTGATGTGCGAAGTACATGGATGCTTTTATGTTAAAAACATGCTTTGTTATATACTTTAACACACTAGCATGCTGGCTGTAGACACCATAAAAACCCTTTGGACAACGGCAATGTTATTGTTATAGGTTGGGTTAAACCTCTTTGAAACTGGTGGATGTAAGAATAACTCCTCATTCCTGACAAATGTAAGAAACAATTAAGTTTCTTTATGGAACCAGATAGCTGAAATAATGGGGACCTCTACCCAAAACAAAGCCACGTGCAAGGCTGCAGTAGAAGCTGAACTATACAGCCCAATCGGGTTCCTCTATGATCTAATAAACTCAGGAGCAGGGGCTTGATTGGCTTGGAGCGAAGTGCCTATGTGTATGAGAGAGAAGCAGAAAAAGAGAAACACCAGAGAAGCTGAAAGAGAAGCATCAGAAAGCCAAAGATACAGCCAGAACAAACACTTGGAATGTGGTCCTGAGCAAAAGCATAGAGAAAGTGATATTTTGGGCTAAGTGCTGGCTAATGTGGGGCTTAGTGCGGTGAGCAAATATATTGATTCCTGCTGTGTTCAGGGAAACAGCACCTTTATGTTCTTTGTAAAGAAAATGGATTGCATCAAAGAAATACCTGAATCCAACTTTAATTTCTCCTTCTAAATGAAGCAGCCCACTCACTATTGTTACATCTTGAGATCCCAGTTCAGTCCCCAGTGTGCTGGCCAAGATAGTGGCCATCACCTGTGCTCCTCAAGGGGGTATGTTTGCTCTGAGTTCCTATTCATGTCCATGTGCAGTTCTATGAGAAGGCCCTCAAAATGATTAGGCTGCCATGATCAAGGAACCAGCCTGCCTTGTCCTACCAGAAGGCCCACCATCTGGGATAGACGCTGTACTGGGAAACAGGAAACAGCAGCGTTATAACCAGAGCAATTGCCCATACAGTCCTTGATATACCAAAACAATGAGATAAAAGAAATGCTTTTGTTCATTCTTTAGAGGGCATATGTCATAAATATAAAGGGAAGGGTAACCACCTTTCTGTATACAGTGCTACAAAATCCCTCCAGGCCAGAGGCAAAACCCTTTCACCTGTAAAGGGTTAAGAAGCTAAGGTAACCTCACTGGCACCTGACCCAAAATGACCAATGAGGGGACAAGATACTTTCAAATCTGGAGGGGCAGGGGGGGAACAAAAGGTTCTGTCCGTCTGTGTGATGCTTTTGCTGGGAACAGATCAGAAATGCAAGCCTTCCAACTCCTGTTAAGTTAGTAAGTAATCTAGCTAGAAAATGCATTAGATTTTCTTTTGTTTAATGGCTGATAAAATAAGCTGTGCTGGAGGGAATGTATATTCCTGTTTTTGTGTCTTTTTGTAATTTAAGATTTTGCCTAGAGGGATTCTCTATGTTTGGAATCTGATTACCCTGTAAGGTATTTACCATCCTGATTTTACAGAGGTGATTCTTTTACCTTTTCTTTAATTAAAATTCTTCTTTTAAGAACTTGATTGATTTTTCATTGTTCTTAAGATCCAAGGGTTTGGGTCTGTGTTCACCTGTACACAGGTGTACACAGGTGTAATCCTGGTGAGGATTATTATCAAGCCTTCCCCAGAAAAGGAGGTGTAGGGCTTGGGGGGGATATTTTGTGGGAAGACGTCTCCAAGTGGTCTCTTTCCCTGTTCTTTGTTTAAAACGCTTGGTGGTGGCAGCATACTGTTCAAGGACGAGGCAAAGTTTGTACCTTGGGGAATTTTTAACCTAAGCTGGTAAGAATAAGCTTAGGGGGTCTTTCATGCAGGTCCCCACATATGTACCCTAGAGTTCAGAGTGGGGAAGGAACCTTGACAACATACAATTAGAATCCTTATACACCAATTAAAAAAGTAAGAGGTGGTGAGGGAGCTTATTCAATAGCAGAATAGGCAGGCAATGAAAAAGCAAGAGAGTGGGATGCATGCGGTGGTCATTGCAAATGGGGCGACAAGGGGTTGGTTACTAGAAGCAAACAGGACCTTAGAAAATATCTCCATTAAGAATCTCAGCAAATGAAAGAAGGGAGCTGTCAGAGAGTTAAAAAGCTGGGTACATTGGCATTAGTTGTTGGAGGAGAGGCTTTATTAGATTTTGGGATAAGTGGAGAGAAATTTGCCTTGCCTAAAAATGTAATAGCGAAGTAAGCCGACTTGTTTTATGAAAAATTTCTGGATATTGGCATTGAAGATCAGGGTAAAATAAAGGCTAGAATTAATAGATATCTCTGCTGCATTGTTGTTTTTATCTCACTAGTCATGACCTGTGTTACTTGTACATCAGTTTAATCAATATCTGCTATATAGAGTATTAATGGAATTACATAAATAGCTGGAGTGAATCTTCTTAGGACTGACTGATTTAGTTGGGGATTGGTCCTGCTTTGAGCAGGGGGTTGGACTAGATGACCTCCTGAGGTCCCTTCCAACCCTTATATTCTATGACAGTCATAGGACTGTCATGCATTCATGAGGAAGACAGTTTGTAATGCAATTGTAAATACACAGTCTGAGCATTTATGTTTCTGTAGCTTCTGCCAGCTGGCATATGGACTCAGAAATACAAAGCAGTGTAAATATTTTGACCATAATAGCCAACACATAATTTCTTGCAATAAAATCCTCCTATTTTTTGCCTCTTTACATGCTGATTTTGGTGTTACTTTTGGCATTTTTCCTCATTTGTCTGCCATTTAGAGTCTCACAATGTGGCATGGCTCAGCCAGATGCTGTGCACTGAGCTGGTCACATCACCATGACTGGGAACAGTGGACCATACAGCCAAATTGGGAAGTCCATGGAAATTCCAAGACCTGGGGATTTAAAAGGGGACAGGATGGGTGGGAAAGAAAAGGCCTTGCTGGTGATTAGTACAGTGACCGTGAAGGGAGAGGGTGTTATATGCAGGGGGAGACATGGACACCTCTACTCATATGTGAAGCTATATCTACTCTTTCATGGACACTACTGGCAGTGTTCATGGAATCTGGAAATCTCCACCTCACCCCACCCGCCAAGTCAGCA